TTCTATTTGAGAGTAATCAGAACCAGGGATGTGACCCTCCAATTCCACCGGAACAGCTTCATACCCTCTCAAGCTCTTGACACTACTAGAAGGCGACTCTAAGTTCAATACCTTCAAAGCATTCCCCGTGAAATTTCCAATTAGTCCCTCCCCTTTCGCCGAAGCTGTCTCACACCATCTTAAGCTCTCAACGCTGCTTGATGGCAACTGTGAGTTCAGTGTCTTCAAAACATCTCTCGTGAAACTTCCTGCGCTTCCCTCCCCTTCCAAAGAAGCTGTCTCACACCCCTTCCAAATCTTGACGCTGCTTGATGGCAACTGTGAATTCAGTGCCTTCAAAACATCTCTCGTGAAATTTCCTATGCTTCCCTTCCCTTCCGAAGAAGCTGTCTCACACCCTCTTGAACTCTCGATGCTGCATGAAGGCAACTCTATGTTCAGTGCATTCAAAACATCCCTCGTGAAATTTTCTATACAACCCGGGGTGGGTTCCATCAGACCTGCCTGACACCCTCTTCCTGATGGCGACTGTAAATTCAGTTCTTTCAGAACTTCCCACGTGAAGTTTTCTATTATCGACACCCTTGCACAGCTTGGACTATCCTCACTATCCTCACAATCGGACGGTATTTCTATAGTGAGGTGCGCGATCTTTTCGGTGTTAAAAGTTGAATTTGAACCACTTCTAGTTCCGTTTTCCCTTTCGCGATTTCGTTCAGTGCTGTTGTACCTTCTTCCTATTAAAGATACGCATCGCCGAACGAATTTGAAAAGAAAGATCCCACCGGATACTATTAATAAACTCATTACGAATGCGGATAGAGATGAAATGATAGAATGTGATTTCATGTTGAAACTTTAAAAAAAAATAATTTGTGTATAACAATATTTGAAAAAAAATAAAAATTTAAACTTTAAAATTTTTTATTTTCTTTTTATTCCAAATTATATTGAAAACATTATTGAATTTTCTCAATATAATATGGGAAATAATTTTCTTATTGTACACACATATACATATGTACATATTCTATAAATTATTTCACAATTATTTTGAAAATTGTGAAAAAGAAATTAAATATGTACGTACATATGTATACATATTGTGTATGTGAATACATAGTATGCTTTTAAAAAATAAAAATTTCAAGTGAAAATTAAAATTTTGTCATTTCATTTTTTACAAAATTTTAATTTCAATAGATAATTTTTATTTTCCTATTTTTTCATTTTATATTGAAATTTTAATTTATTTCAATATAACACGAAAATTAACTGTTTTTCTTACAATTTCCAACGATTCTTGCTGAAAATTATAAGAAAAACAATTGTTTAATTCTAATTTTAAAAAATTGTTAAGTTTGCAAAATGCAAATTTAACTTTTTTTTTTTAATTTCAATTTTCAAATGCATGCATTCAATAATTCAATATTTTTTATAAAATTATTAAACACATGCATTTTAAAATATTTTTAATGTATAAATTAAAACAATTTAATAAATTATTTGAAAAAATAAAACGATAAAAAATTTTGTGCATTTACCCTTCTATAATCCTCCTCAGAATGAGAAAAATTAAATTTTCAACTCGTATTTATACAATTTTAGCTCCAAAAAATATTTCAAAATGCTATGTGATTAAAAAATTTTGACTTTGAAATTTTTTTTTTGATGTTCAACAAAAATATTTCAAATCATTTTTGTTTAGAAAATTAATGAAATTTAAAATGTTTTCAATACAATAAGAAATTTTGGAAATTACTAAAGGATTATAAATTGAGATTGAAAAAAAAATTTAAAGAAATTTAAAAGAAGAAAAAGACATTAAAAATAAATATTATAAACAAAGATAAGCAGTGGAACTATTGCAGAAGCTACAAAATTTCTACGTCAATTAAAAAGTAAGAAAATACAAGAACCTGAAAAGAAGAATTTATTTTTCATCATTTCAATTGAGAAATAATTTAATTTTTCGAAAGGAAGTTTAATTATACAAGGAAAACAAGAAGATCATCATCTATCGATAAAAGTAATATTCTTTAATATCATTTTAACAATTTCAGTTTAACAATCATCGTTTATTTCAGGAATGCTATAAGTTTATTCATGGGATCTAAATGAAACTATCTTTTATTGCTTTATTTTTTTTGCCATATTTTAGCAATTACAATAATACGAGTACAGCAAAAAACAATATTTTTATCAGCCATTTTTAAATTTAATTTTCCAAATCAAAATTTCCAAGTCTTCAATTGTCTGAAAATGTTTACAAATATGATGGATTTTTAATATTGGAAAACTAAATATATATTTATTGCTGATTCATATTATTTAGACGGTTCTAATAATATGCTATTAATCGTTAAGTTTCATTAAGGGGTTTAAACGTCATATATATAGGCTGTTTTAGCTTAATATTTTCCATTATTATTCCATTACATTTTAGCCGTACAATGTTCAATTTAGCCGTATATTTAAATATTCCCTTATAATAAAAAAATAAATATGGTTCTAGATTTAATACTATAAAATCAAATCTGATTTATTTAAAATTATTGTTCAAGTTTAAATGTTGATATGAACTCATATTTATGTAATGCGTTAGTTTAACAAATCTGATCAACATTAATAGGAAAATAATTCTAACTAGAAAAGATTGAAACTTATGAGCTACTTTTTTAGCACTTTTCTAAAAAAAAGAATTTAAAAATTAGTTTCCCTGTACCCGTCCTCAAACCCGTTTAAGATAGACAGCTGGAATTTCACATATAAATAGATCTTTACTGGAAACTAATCTCTAAAAATGCATTTTTTTTTGTTTATTCATTGTAACAAAATCACAAATATAAAATGACAAAATGGAGACAGCTATATATTATAAATTATAGCTTGCCTAATTATAAAATCATATACTTCTAATTTTATTATTCTTTATTTGTTGAGTTTATGATTTTGCCAATCAAGTTTTTTACAAGTTTAAAAGCATTTTTAAATTTTATAATGAATAAACAAAAAAAACTTTTTACTTAACCTCTAATATTTTTATTTAATCTTTAACTTAACCTCTAACATTTTTATTTTAATCCTTAAATTAATTAATTAGGAATTTAATTCAATTTTTCAATAAGTATAACTTTTTAGTAAGGAATTATATTACGTTACTCCGAAAAGTATGCAAAATTGTATTGATAGCAAATTATGTATTTTAATAACATTGTTTAAACATAAGTTCTTGGCTTATATGCTATTTTATAAACTATGATTATGATTTCCTACATTTTTACAAATTTACAAATATATGTATATATATATAAGATATATTGTACACTTTAAATTAAAAAGTCAAATGCCTCAACTGGTTTATTTTGAAAGTTTTATTTTGAACTCATTATTTCCCGTTGTTTGATGTAGAGTTAAACCTATAAATATTGTAGTTATCCTTTTCAGAAGAATTTCAACATTTTACAAAATAAATATAGTAATTACGATATTATTAAAATTATACATAAAATAAATAATTGTGAATAATTGTGCAATAAACAATGTGCATAAAATGGAATGACATAGTTTTCTCGATAAATATACGGAAAATCAGTATTAGAATTTTCTGGACTATTCAAATTCAAAAAAAAGAAAAAAAAAATCAAGAAGGACGTCGAATGGAAATATCTGTCGAATTACATAAATGTTTGTACGGCTATCAAAACGTTTGGATCCACGTTGTAATTCAATAAACAAAATAAGCACGCAAAGAAATCGACTAGTAATAGTATACATATTATAGTAATTAAAGTAATCATTCCGAAAGTAGCAAAGAAAAAATTCGGGAAACTTTTTAAAGAAAAATGTCAGGCTTTTCTTTATTCGTTTAAAATACATATAGTATTTATAATTTTTAGATTTATAATCTGTTCAGTTTACATCCCCTTTTATCTAAATCAGGAATTTAAAAATTTTTGAAAGATTTTTCAATAAATCTTATACTCAAAAATCTACCATCTGAGAATTTATATTGAATTTTAACATTATTTGTGTGACGACAAAGCTAAAAGATTTTCGTAATCTTTTGTAAAGTGTTCATTTTTCAATAGGAAATTCTAAATTTCTGAAATTGAAGCAAATAATTGAAAAATACCTCAACCCCAAGTATAATGCAAAGTTATATGTTTATAATTATAATACAGTACTTCTGACAGTGAAATTTTCCAATTTTAAAATATTAGAATTAAGGAAACAATTAAAATGTTTGGACTTTAATGATTACAAGTAGAAAAAATCTAATGTGGGGAGAATAAAATCAACCGTAAAGTGTATTCTTTAGCGAAAGTATTATTGAAGATTGTGAAAATGCCTCCTAAATACTCCTTTCCAATTTTAAGGTAGTTATCCCTAGAAAAACGTAAATTTAGCTCTTAGCAGCGTTTCGTTGGAATTCAAATTCCCCGAAAAGTTTACGATTTAACGCCCCAAGTTCGGTTTCCGAGTCCTGATCTTTACAAAAAAATTATAGGTTCATTGCTTTAATACTTCGAATTTAAATATTAAATTAGTTAATTATTTCTCTTTCCTTGCGCAAAGGCGACAAAATTGGCCCGCAAAAAGATCCGGTTTCCGATTGCTGACATACCCAAAAGTTTATCAATCTGTCACATAACTAAAATAAACGTACATATAAAATTCCAACCAAATCGGAATCAGAAAATTAAGAATTTACTGATCACAGGTTCATTAAAGTTTTGATTGCATTCAGAAGTTTTCCTTTTTATCCTATTTAATTCTTTTGATGATCCAGATTGATTTTATTGAATTTTTAGGGAATTATTATTTAAGACTTTTGATACTTTTTGTTAAAAAGTAGAAAAAAAAAGTAGAAAAAAAAACGCTCTATAGTCAGATTTATCCAATTTTTAATGTTACAGTTTATTTTATTAATTAAACAAAATAAAATAATGATAAATTAAGAAAAAACCAACAATTACATTGCAATTTCTTTTTAATCCTTAATTATTTTGTTCAGTTATCTTTGGCTTTCGTTTTCTTATTCGGATCTTTAATGAACAATTTTTCATCTTTGTTATTAATAAAATGAAATTTTCTATAAACCATTGCAGTGAGATGATTCCAATTTTAACCAATGTTAATATACTTGCGCCAAGAAATAATCCTATTGCACCACCAACTGATACTGTAATTGAAAATTTATTTTAAATTAATTTCATTATAATGCCACTCTTCCTGAATAGTTAAATAAATTGTAGTTTTAAACTGCAATTCATTTAGTTGCTGACAATCAGTATTTATTTAATATTGTTCATGTTACAACTCATATTGCAGGCATTTCAGAGTACCTAATTGGAAAATTTTTTTTTTGTTGATCTTATTGAACATACTGTGTGGTATATGAGCAATATTTTAGTGCTAGTATAGTTTTAGTTTTCATTATTTTGTATATAATCTATCTATAATATTAATTATATTTTGTAATTTATTCATTATTTTTTATAAAAAGAGTTGGTGCGGTTTATTTTCTAAAAAAAAACACTAAATCAATATTATCTTACGTTATCGTAAATCTTTAATTTGTGTATGAACAGCATTTAAAATGTTTATTAAAAATTCAATTATTTCTCAATTTATGTATATTCAAAATTTCTACAATATCTCACCATTAAAAAATTTTCCCTGAAATCAAAATCTTTTCAAATGAATGACAAATGAATTAATCAATTAATATATTAAAAAGTTATTTTAGATTTAATTCAAAAATTATAAATTCCTTTTATATCGTCTTATTATTTTAAATTTTATGCAAACATAATAGATAATTATCGATATTTGATTAATTTATTTTAAAATTTTGAGGGAGAATCCAAATAGATTTATTTATTGTGTATTTTATATTATCCTTTTTTAGAATTTATTTTACAAATATATCTAATTATGTTATAATTATTAAAATATGTAGGTTTAATTTTGAATTGAAACAATCAATTAATTAAATAATATTTAAAAATCAAATAATAATTATTTAATAAAATTATATTGTGTCATCGAAATTTAATAAATACACAAATTATATATACAAAGGAAGAGGGAAAATATGTACATAATTCAGGATATAAATAAAGGATATAAATATTTATTAAATTTGTAATAACAAAAACCAAAACAAAAATCAAGAAAATTAATAACATTTTTTTTTTTTTCATTTACAAATAAAATAAAATCAATATTATTATAATGATGATTACATAAATTAGATATTTTAATAATATTCCCGTTCGAAATATATACACACATAATTACATATAATTTTAATATAAGGATATTATAGTAAAAATATAATGTGAATGAAAGGTTACAAATGTGTTAGTGCTTTTATTTTTATTTTCGATTGCAATTTGTTGTTTGCATTGGTGTAATTATGTAATATTTTTGATCGTAAAACAATTTTTTTTGTTATTGTTTTTATTACTCATAAAAATTAAGATAGGAGGAAAAATTTAATTTTATTTTGATCTCCTTATCATCCTTATATAAAACAGCACCCTTGTTAAGCTTACTTATATACAAGAATCAAGGAGAATTGGTAACAATAATTGTATATATTTGTATATATGTATATATATGTTCGATTTGGTTTCCTTTCTTTAGTGTAAAACAAATCAAATATTTTAATTAAGGTATTAATATTCTTAAATGGTATGATAAAGGGAAGTAGGAAAATAAAACATTATAATTTTTGTTTTTAAATTTTTGATAAAATTTATTTTGAAGTCGCGATATGGTATTAGAAATTTGTTTTTCTACATGTAAAAGAAATAATAAAAGAATAACAATAAAACAGAAATTATACCGGTAGTAAATTATTCGGCATAAATTTCATTTGGTTTTAACGGTAGAGAAAACTGTTATATTATAAGCATAGATTTCATTCAATTATATGTAACTAAGGATTTCCCTATCTAAGTAGAAATAGAAGAGACGAATGATAAAGAAGAGTTGAACACAAGGCGTATTGAGTTGTTATCGTTGCACATTATAACATTTTAACACTTTCATTTAAGTTGTCTAATTCTTGGGTGTGAATTTATATCAATCTTATTTTTATAAGTACAAACTGTATAACAGTAAAAATAATTTAGAACGGAACAAGACAGTCAGCTACTTAGATTGTTTGCTTGTCATTGAATAGGGTTCAAGAATTTGTTCAAGAATACTTAGTTTAAACCTATTATGAATCTGTTACGTAACATTAAAAGAGATTTATGAACTTCAATTTTTTCTCTTCTCTTTTGAAATTCGTTCCATTTAAATAGATTTCGAATGCCTTAAAATATTTTGGGATTAAAAAATTTTTTTTGTTGTTTTACAATTTTTTAATGTCAATAAAATTTTATAGCTTTTCAAGCTTTGACGTTAATTATTAAAATAACGTTCAAAGTATTGTTAAATATTTCGTTTACATTTTATGTACTTATATAACAGAAAAACGGAAACAATCGATAATAAAATAAATGTATATAACAATATTATTATATTGGAGTAAAGGAATAGGAAATTTGGATGCTATGTACATATATGTATGTATAAGGTTTACGTTTTGGTCAAGGTCATAAATTTTTTCCTATATATACATTGTTTTCTCTTTACATCTTGTATTTTCTCTTATTGTAATATTAAAAATACGAGTATTTATTATTTTAACTGAATTATAATAATTTTTTTACTTGGTGGTGGTTGTTCTACATAAAATTTTACAATGAAAAATTATTAAAAAATTTAAAAGATATTCACACCATTGCAGGAAAGGACGAACAAAAATACGGTATGAAATCTTTAAATTTATTACTCTTATAAATTATTCACAAAATTTAAATAATACTGATAATGGGAGGTTGATTAAAATTCTGTTGAAGGTTGAGAAAATTATAATAAAAAGATTTGGTTTCCCATTGTTGTTTCGGGTGGAAAAATTAAAATTAATTTGTATACACACACCTACATATATAATACACCTAAAATTCTTTTTATAGTTTCTTTGTTTGTAATTATTCTACCTGATTTTATATTCTGTTATATAAGATTAGATGAATTATAAATAATTTGCGATTTTAATCATCTAATTTATATTAAAATAAAGATAAGTTTTCATTTCAAAATTTTCAAAAGATTTTAGAGTGCAAATCTCATGACTTTTTTGTTATAAATTTATACAGAATTTTTTAATTAGATTAATTAAACAATGAGTTCGTGTGGTGTATTAAATTTAATTGGTAGTAGGGTTTTCACTTTTATAAAAACAAAATTAATTTCCTTTTTTATAAAATAATAAAATATTTAAATTTTGGTTTTTATTACCTAATAAATCCTCAAAACTGAATACAACATCACGTCTCATACGAACTTTTGGTGGTACAATATCCCATCTAAAGCTTGATGATATTTTAGAATTTTCAGTTGTTGTTCCACTCCTAAAAATATTGAATAATCGGTGTATTTTGTCAAATAACAATATTTGTAATAATTTGCTTTACGTTGTACCGATAACAAATGTAATATGTTAAGTTAGGGACGTTAATTTCAAGTTGTCTCAGATATAAAATTTTATTTTCCAAATTTTCTAAAACATTTTTCATGTCTTCTCCAAGAAAATCATAAGCTTTAATCGCCAGCCGTATTAATCTTAATTTTGCTCTAAACCCCGTATTTTTGATACCCATAAGGCTAGTAGGTGCTGCCCTCAAACATAAAAATAAATTTTACATGACTTTGTCATCATTTGAAAAGGAAAAATTCTAGTTATTCACTTTTTATCTCCGTGCGTATGTCAATTGAAGGCCAAAAAACCCAATCCCACTCCATATGTTAAGTTTTTCTAAGAAAACAAAATGCTAGTAAAAGAATAATGATTTGGAAAACCAAAGGCGTATCTGTTAGAAATATTTACGATATTTGACATAAACTTGCTTCGAATCTCCGATATTGTCCCTTAATTTATATAAGGTAAAAGACTACTCTTTGTTATTACTCAAAAAAAAGCTTTTTAGTTAACTTACCAAGGATTTGTTTTTATTGAATGAACTGAATAAACATGTTCCGTACATGTGCTTGGGCATTTACAAATATGAAGTGCCCAAATTGGCCATTTAAAATCTAATAAACATTCAAATCCTGCAGGATTGCATCTTATTCCATCTAATTTTAAAAAAGTTGAATTTTAAATTAAATATATTTGATAATTCGAGAAGAAAGAACAAAATTATTACCCACAAAAGGATAGAAAAATGGTACACAATTACACATTTCAAGTGCCATAACTGCACGGCAACGCGCCAAGCACAATGTTTTACTATAAATCTAAATTTGTAAGTTTTTAAAAGAATTTCATCTAAAAATAAAATTTATTACATTCAATCCTGATGTTGGTTCATCAAAGAAAACACATTTTCTTTGTTCAGGATCTAAGTCTCTAAGGGTTTCACTTGCACTATTTTTTTAAAAAAATATTTTTATATATGCCCAAAGATTTTATGTTTTAATAATATAAGGCACTCACAATGTTTCTGTAACTTTATAGGATGCATAGATTTCATTTGCTTTTATCATTTCGATTGCACCTACTCCAGCATCGCTAGCTGAAACTTCGTATGGGGAATGAACTTCAATCTACAAAAAGAAAAGATTTTTTATTTCTATGAATCCAGGTAGACTAGTTGGAAATTTAAAATAATTTTACTGTTCCAACACTGTCAAAAATATCCATTTTTATAAAGCACTGATGTTTCCCATATTCACATAGTATTGACTTTTCAATGTTCTGAATATTTTTATTGCTGAAGATGAAAAAAAAATTTTTTTTTGAAAGAATTTGGAAAATAAAATTTCAAAAAAAAATTTCTGACAAAATATTCAAATAATACTTATGTGTGTATTTGAAAATTTATTAAAATTTTTGAAAATTAAAACTAGCTATTAAGAAAACTTACTTTTCTGACAACATTTTTGCCATCGGAGCATTTATTGCATAACACATTCCTCGTTCTGTCATCACCCTTATTACATGAACTTTAACATTATTTCGAAATGTTGTTAGATCCTGAAGAAATGATCGATCAATTAATTTTACAATCTCATATAAATTAATATCATCGAAACGTTCATCTTCAGCAAATTTTACTAAATCACCATAATTATATGCTGTAGAATTAACAACAGCATATAAAAATTCTAAGAAATAAGAATAATCATTATCATTAGGTGTTATATTCCATTTCTCTTGTATATAGTCATCAGCTTTCGATATATCCATTTTATCATGATAACATAATGTTAAACCAGGTAAAGTTCCATTCCATGCTCTATAATCACGATCTAAACTCATTACTGTTGGATTATTATAGAAACGATTAATTTGATTTGTAATCATTATATAGGTTGTAACAATAGATCCCATTACTGTTAATAACCAGAAAATTCTGTAAAAAAAATTTAGTGAAATTTTATTTGAGTTAAAATTAATTTTTAGTAGATAGAAAATTTTTTTGTTGTATTTTGAACTTTTATATTTTAAGATATCCTTTTTTTATAATTTTAATTAATAATTTAATTTCCCCCTTGCAGGCGTTTCAAATTTTCAATGATGCGATTGAATATTGTTTTATATTATGCTTCGGAATTTCGCGAGTTAAGTGAAATGATCATTCATTTGCCAAAAAGGGGTTGTTTTACTATATAAGTTACGGTTAGACTGTGGAACTTATTCCTATAATATACAAACCTTTCAAACAAATGCAATTTTTTTTCAAATATTAATTTGATCGATGTAATTTCCGATGCATTTGCAATTATTCGACAAAATTCTAAGATTTTTTCAAAGAAACTTTTAAAAAATGAAAAATTGCTTTTTTTAAATTTATTCATCGTGCTGAAAAAGAGAAATTATTTTTTTAACTAAAGAGACACAATTTTTTAAACTAAATTTTGGATTTAATTTCAAATCAGTTATAGTCTTAAAAATATTTTAATAAACAAAGAAAATTAAAGGAAAAACAAGACCAAAAAACGAAAAAAGAGAAAATTTTGTTAAAATTGATTTCCCATCAAATCATGTGTTTTAGATAAAGATCGCTAAAAGCATTTTTCAAAATAATACAAAAGAGCAAAATATAGAAAGAAAAACAAAAAGAAAAATGTTAAAAGTCTCCCTATTGTTCTGTCCTAATTTAATTTCAATACAATATTCAATAAATTGAATATCCTTGAATATCCTTTGTCAAAAAATTTAAGCTTTTTGTTTTTATTTTTAGAAATCGTACTGTCGTAATCGTATATGGATAAATCTTTCGATTCAGTTTACTTTCTCTATTTTTTTAAGCTTAGAACGGAAAGAAATACGATAAAGAATTTCAGGATTTAAAAAAAAAACAGTATTTTATGCATTGTGAATTTATTCATGAATAAAGTAATAATAAATTCAATTATGGTGTAGCGGATTTATATAGCCGTAATAAACACTAAAATTAATAAAAAACGAGTTTAACTCAATTCGAACTCCAACGTAGTTTTTATTATGAATGTTAAATTTATTATGATTTTTTACTATTGCTTCCAATTTTATCAAACAATCTTTATTAAAAAAAACAATAAAATTTGAATTTTATGAATTTATGACAAATGATATGTGCGATGTACATCTGATATAATTTAATAAAGGATACTCTGAATTTTTAGAAACATTCTAGAACTCTGACTTAACTTGTATAGAATAGTATATGTTGTATTGTGTGCTCCGTATAAAGTGATATGTTTTAGTAAAGTTCACCGTCCTAAATAAAAATAGTAGATTTAGTGCAAACCACTCTAAAAATTTTTATTTAAAGCAATATTTCAAATATTTAAGCTGTATCGTACATAAATTCATAAAAAACAGATGATCATAATCGGGTTAATAGGATTTCCTCTGAAAATTGGATAAAATATAGTCTTTATAACGCTTTTAGTCGGCTTTAATAATATGCTTGAATAACAGAATTTAAACGTTCAAATGTAATGTTTGAACAACAATATTAGGTCTTTCCTCATTACAACTCATTAGCTCATTTACCCGATTATAGCTCATTACCTCACCTAAAACTTTAATATTTATAACTGTACAAACGTACGTTCGCACAAATTTAAAAATAATATATAAATTTGCAACTCTGTTTGTAACCGTTAGACATAACGGTTTAAGAAATATAACTCAAGTGTGGTTTTTGATCAGTGTCAAATTTTGAGTCGATCTACAGCCATAATCCGTCTGAAAGAACTATTTAAGTTCTGTTTACCAAATTTAGGCAAATGAGTTATTCTTGTAGATACCAAAACCTTATCTGAATAGTACGGGTATCAGATTGTTGACACGGTTAGCTTTACCTATATTTTCGTTTTTATTTCGATTTTAATATAGCCAAAGTATAGTAACAGTTTAGATTTGTATACGATAAATATTCAACATATTTAAGTTTACTATTTATTGTTTCTTGTGGAAACTTTTCAAAACTTTTATTACACTAAGGACATAATTCAATTAGACTTATTAATTAGAATTATCTGTTTGGATTGCAAGGTGATCCCATAAACAAAAATAACTTTAATTTTTTCAACCATAGTTAATATTGTTTTATATTATAAATCATGAGCAGTTCAACTATAAATGTAGGTACATAAGTTTAAAACATAGGTTTTAGGGATATAAAGTAGACGTTCTTTGCACATTTCACTACACTTGGTATCTTTCCAATTACTGAAGTTATGTTTACTTTATAATAAATTTCATTTATTTAACAAATAAATTTATTCAGCATTAAGTACAGAATATATTTTCTGATTTGTTTTTTTTTTACCAAATTATTTACCTTACATTAAATTTTAATTAAAAGTTTATTATTTAATATCAGAGAAAAATACAAAAATTCGTATAAATACCAATACACCAAAATATTTATGTACTGTATGTATACACATATACATACATATATGCATAAATATTTTCCCTTGAGACCATATTCAAGGTCATAAAACTAGAAATATTCAATTTAATCTTTTATAATCTAATTTAACCGTTTTCCTAATTTCGGCCAATTAAGAAAATTCTTTTAATAATAATTTTTCACCCCATTACATAATAGGGTGAAAAAAACATTTATATTCTGAAAACACTGAAAATAACACAAATGAATGGTACATTTACCTTATGGTTATTAAAAAGGTAAGAAAAAATAATAAAGAATATTATGAAAAAGTGAAAAAAGAGAAAATAGTGGTGTGAGAGTTGTTAACCTAATAAAAATTATCACATCTTTTAGAGCATATGCTGTAAATTTGTATCGAATTTTTCCTATTTTATTTTTATTTTCGATTTCAGTCTTAATTTTTCCCTCATTTTCATTTTTTCTCTTTTAATTTTTTTTTTTTTTTTTGGAAACTGTTCAACAATAACATCCCTACACAAATACAATTTACAATAGATCTAATGGGAATTTGTGGAATTTTTTTCCTCTCTTTCTCTGGTTATTTTTTTTTTCATTTGTGCTTTACCTCTCTTCTCTTTTCTGGTTTTTTTTTCTTGTTTTTATTAAGTATTTGTAATATGTGTTTACAAGATAAACAAGAATTCACAATAAATTTATTAATATTTACATACATACATACAAATAACATAAAATGCATACACATTTACATTCAATATATTAGTGTACAGAGAGTTAAGGTTTTTGGGTAAAGTCCTTGGGGCAAAATTTGTGATAAACATATTGAAAAAATCAAAAACAAAAAGTAACATAATTGCAAAAAGGAAACAAGAAAAAAAAAATAAATAAAGAAGAAAAAAAAGGGAAATAAAAACTTAATTTCAAAGAATTCATTAAATAGTGGATATAAAAATTGTAATACGCTAATAATATCAATGCCGCCAATATATAACAACAAAAATGTTAAAAAAAAAGAGAGATGAATAAAAGGACAAGTAAACAAAAGAATTTAGGGAAAAAACCATTAACGCTTTTATTAAAGAAACAATCAACTGACTTTCTACTTCTTCAAATATAACAAGGATATGAAAAAAATTTTTTTTTTAATAATAATAAACATTACTTATATACGGTGTAAATTTCGATAAAAAGTTTTTGGGGAGTGAAATACATATACAATATAATTATATATACATATACGAATACACCAAAGAATTTTACGTATTTTGGTGAAAAAAGTAAGGAATATAAAAATTGATAAGCTATATGTAAATGCGGTCTTATTTGATATTTGCTTGTGTATCACTCAAAAGCAAAAATATTGGAATTTTATATTTGAGAAATAATTAAAAGAAAAGGATATAAAAGGGCCGGTAAAATATTTTTATACAGTATACACGCAATCACAGTATTGCCTTAAGAATTTGTAAGTGTTTTCCCAGCCGTACAGCCCTGTTGAAAAATTATCAATAATCGTTATTAATGAAAAATTATGAAAACTTTTATAAAATTTCTTCTATTGCATAAGTTTCTAAAGTGCTGACCAGATAAAAAATTTTTCGAAATTTATAAAGTCTTAGCGAAGTATATAAATGGCGTAGATCTTCTGAATTATTTACAGTACATTCTTGAATATAAATTACATGCTTGAAATTATTCTAAGATTTGATTTTGTTCTTAAAAGCAAAGAAATGTCAAAATAAACGATTGTCGATTTAATTACTGAGATAAAAGATTTTTGTCAAATTAGTCAAATTTATGTAGACGTAAGTTACTGTTCATTGCGTGTTACAATATTACTTGAATAATTAAAACTCGTGGAAGCTTGGCAATATATGAAATCTAATACTCTTTCAGAATATAGAATAGTTAACCAGTGCAATTAACAATTGTTTCAGCACTTCAATATTAAACACTAGATATTCCACTTATTGTAGCAAAGTATGTGTTGTTAATTTCTCGATATACGCTACATTACAAATTTGGATGAAAATTTCTATACAAACCTCCATAAAATAGATTTTCCTTTAATAAAAAATCAAAAGCAGAATTTTTGTATAGAATTAAAAAGTGAACATACAAAATCTCTAACCAAAAATTTTTTTTGGTAAAAATTCAAAAAGTTTTTATAAAAATATTTTTTTTTTGTGTTACCTGGATAATGGCCAGCGCTCCAACAATAATTGAAGTACTGTACGTGCTTATATTCTTGAAAATAATTTTTCTTTTTTGTAAATTCGACAAGGGTGGAAAAATGTTACATTTTCTTGTACTATTGATTGAGTGAGGGTTTAACAAACTTTTGAATTTTTATTTTATTTTTTTTATTTTTTTTTATTATCGTTTTTACTGTAATTCTATAGTGTTTTTTCCCCTTATATATAAGATGAACGATCCTTTCGATAATGAGTTTTTCCTCTTTTTTATGATAGTTACATATTTATGCTTTTATTAATAAAAATTGT